CGAACGCATCAACGCACCACCATCGACTCTGTCAAGCCGAATAGCGCAAGAATAGTGCTGTAGGGTACGGTACGGTATGGACAAGGGCTTACTACAAATGTTTTGAAGCATTTTTTTTTATTGGTGCATTAGTAAAATTCTTTGTTTTGATTGGACAATCAAACACTTCGAAGCATTTGTAGTGTTACATTGACTGTAGCCATTTTTAAATCTTTAGATTTAAAATGATTTCAATTAAATTTCGATATTTAACATTTTTTTTATTTAATATTTTGTTAATATAATCGAAATGATTAATTTTTTGTTGTTTGCAACAAAATATGCAAAAATATGCAAACAAATAAATAAGAAATAATAAATTATTTTGCAAATATGCAAAAAAATAAATAAGAAATAATACATCATATAATAAACAATTTTATTAATTCTTAAATTTTGAAAGCTATTTTATTAATTAAATTATGAATCAATCGCCTATTATTTAAGTTAATTGAAATTTGGAATCATTCATAAGATTATTTGGATTAAATTCAAAGTAATTTAATTAACAAATTAACTCATCAAATATTATTTTGTTATATTTTTAACAAAGAATTTTTTTAATATCTTTTTTAACAAAGAATTATTAATCTTTTCTTGTTTATCTATAACAAAATTTACGTTAAAAACAAATTATAACTTAACTAGTTAATTAATTGTTCATTAAAATTTTTGCTATAAACAATTTTGTTCATTAATTGTCAATTAAATTAATCAAAGTTTGCTCAAAATGATCTTTAAAGCAATTTCGATAAAACTTTGATTAACTTAGAATCACTTTTACCAATTCCGATTAATTTAATCAACCAATTATTTTATTGGATTTATAGAAGAATTGATTGTGATTGGCCAATTTCTTAAGTCTTACGTCTTACAATCTCATTGTAGACACCGCTTAGTGTCGGTCCACCATAGGTGATTTAAGCTTTAAGAAGTAGGAAATTGACCAATTATAATCTAAGATGAAAAGAATAATCGACTATGATTGATCAATTTCTTACGGCTTAAAGATTAAATACTTATTGTGGACCGACACTATTGTGGACCGACACTTGCAGTTACTAGTCTAATTTCCACTGATGTCTTAATTCGCTTCTAATCTCGACGTAGAACCAGATTTGAATCGATGGAAATTGCGCTCATTTCAATCCACAAATCCGCTTCGATCCACAAATCTTTAGTTCTGATGGAAACAGTATATTAAATTTAATCCATACCAAAGTAGAATCGAATTGAAGACTTCGGTGGAATCTAGACCAGTGTTACACTGTGTCATCTGTGTACCTTGTTGGAAAACAGCCATGAACGATTACTACTGTTATGAAAAGTAAAGTTGATATTGAAAGATATCTATTAGATTCGGAAAAAATTAACGGAGACTGACTGGATTTGAACTCGGGATCCCTCGTCTACCAATTCGACACTTAGTCTGCACGACCACGAATATTATTTATTTTCATTTGTAAGACACGCGATGTTTATGAGTTAAAAAAAATAATTTTTATTTTACTTATGTTTTACAATAATTCTTAGAGTATAATATTGAATATGCTATCTTAAAGAACTGTGAGCCGCAGCATAATGACTGACTTTTCCGAGCTTTTCGTATTGTCTTATATAGGACTTGAAAACAATAGAAAGTACAAAGTCGAAATAGAAGGTCTAAAAGGTTAGGGATTTAGAAAGATAAGAGATAGAAGTCTTAGGTGTCCAGACATTACATTAGGTTTAGGAATTTAGGGAGATAAGAGATAAAAGTCTTAGGTGTCCAAACCTTACACCTCCCTCCTTATTTTAAAATTTGACATATATTCAAATTTTGATGCAAATTAATCTCCTTACCACATCAAGGTCCAAGTTCGAGTTCACTGATGGTGTGCAAGAGGGATAGGTTACGTGTTGAGTTGGCGCACGATTGCTAAAGCTACAATTATAGCAGTTTCCGAACAGCTGTTGGACTAAATTAATAATGCTTGAGAAAAGACCGATTTTATACAGAAATACAAAAAGGATAGAGTCAAGGGCTATATATCCTGATAGATGAAGATAATACATAAATTTTTCTTTCCACGTAATTGTCCTGTGATGTTCGGCTATTCGATCTGCAACGTTAGCGAGTTCTTCTAAAGTTTTATCTAACGTTTGTAAGCGCTAGGAGTCAATATGTGTTTCTTTTACTATATCCATAGGTATTTCAATTAGTTTATATTTTTCTAGAGTTTCGTTAATTATCTTTTGATCTATTAGGCGAATCGTTTTATGAATTTTTATTTTATTTTTAATTAAGTTCTCTGGTTTCAATGTCGCTGTGTCGGAAATTGCTGTACATTCAGAGTTTAGATGAAGTATAAAATTTTGAAAAATCTTAGCGCTACGCAATTTTTTATCAGGATAAAGTATATGCAAAGTTTCTTCTTTTGGAGCGATACCAATCCAGTCTTGATTGATGTGAAGTTGAATCACAAAGTATTTTGAATTTGCATATACTTCGTTGTACATTTCTCGGTTTCATGTTTCGTTAATATTTCTGTTAAACAATTATCCTTTATTCCTGTTTTGTAGTCGGATAAGTTCTTTTTAATAATTGATATTTCCCAAAATCTTTTGCCTTAGTTAATTCTAACTCATTAATAGATATAAAGATTGTTCTGAGTGAATCTATTAAAATTAATCTTTGAGTTGTATCTATGATGGATTGCTTCCACTATCCGTGTCTGGAGAGTGAAATGACTTTGGTGAGTTCCAATTTTTTTCTCCTTAACTAAAGGGATTAGCAATTGTATAAGTATACGTTTTTCGGTTAGAACTATCTATCGATATCTTGCTTATATCAATGACAGTGTATCTCGTCGAGAGCATATAATGTATCTCGTCTAATGGAGTCGGGAAATTATCTATATGTTTATGCGCTCTTAGTGTGTTAAATAATTTTTTAGGTGATAGAACATATGGCTTTACAGTTCCGTGCCTCCCGTCTACAATTAACTCTTCTGCTCTTTTAATTTCATCGACTAGTTTTCTTAATTCGTCGTCTAAATCAAGAAGTATTTCGTCAATCAAAATATTTGCTTCATTGGTCTGGCTTAATGCTTTAAGGCGATTGAATTGTTCGTTCATTTGTTCCATCGATTTTGACGTTATATCTAATATTTTACCGTTAACTATCTAAGAATTATACTAGTCTGATTCTTCATGTATTGTATAACGGTTTTTTGATCGGCATACAACTTATCTAATTCATGATTGTAATACGCAGCATCGGTATCTGCTAGAGTGCCAAATAAAGTTTTACTTACTTCGTCTACAAAGTCAAATAGTGTGCGTTTTTTTCTTATTTCTCGCCTAATTTTAGTTTGTCTAACCAACTAGACGGTAACCGGATATAACACGTTTTCTATATCGTTCGCTACCTCGAATTGTTCCATTCTTTTATCAATACGTTGTTTGGAGGAGTATGTCCATTCCTTATCTGCTATCGTTGAGAGGCATTTTTCTGATAGTCTTGCATACGTATTCTTAAGTACACTATAGTTTTTCTCGAATTTTTTTCTAACAAATCGTATTCTATAATTATCTTCTATTGTTCGTGGTATATTTTAATTTTGGCTAATGTTTCTAGATAAATGACTTCGTTCCAGTTGCGCTATCTTATATTTCTCTTCTCTGTTAACGCGATGATACTGGTGGATCGTTAAGAGAGCCAGTGCCAGAATGACTCGTTTCAGGCTCATCCTGGTTATCTGTAATGAAGGATTTGATATCGCTTCTGTGATATTGTTTTTTATTGTTCCATATTTTCTTTAATATGGTAGGTAATGAAATTATCGTGACGGACCACAGGGAAAGGACCTTTCCATTGTGGCTCGAATGATTTGGCATTGAAATTTTTTACAAGAACTAGATCGTTAATATCAATGGGTGCATAGGTTTTTAAAGGTAAATTAGAATCTTGGTAATCGCGTATGCTAATGCGTGCTTCTTCTAATTTATCTTCATGTTGTATATGTAAATTTTCTATTTGTTTCTGGGGGGTTAATTTCTCATCTTCTTCACTGAAGATGTGATTGGGTTCCCTGCCAAATTGTAATTCATAAGGTGTATAACCCGTAGTTTTGTTAATCATACAATTGTACGTGAGCATTGCTTGGGGTAGTATCATATCCCATTGCTCTTGTTCGTTTATATAATGGCGTATGTATTCTGTGAGAATTATGTATGATCTTTCGTTTTTTCCGTTGGACTGTGGATGGTAAATGGATGTGAGTGTGTGTTTGGAATTTAATCTGGTACAAAGTATTTGGAATTCACTAGAAGTAAACTCCAAAGCGTTATCGGTGAGAAGTTCTTTAGGTTTTCCAAAATATCTGAGCTATGATTGCCACAATGCTTTTATAATGGCTGCAGTCGACTTATTGACCAGAGATTCCACTAAAATATATCGCGTAAGATAATCTTGTATGACCAAAATGTAGCAATTTCCTTTTTTTGTCGTTTCGAAAGGACTCATGATAAGGGTCTAAGGATATCTTTTCATTTGGGGCACGTGGAATATCGGGCGAGGAATATATATATGATTTTTGGTCCCGGGTTTGTTAAATTGACATGCTTCGCATTTGTCGATAAATTCTTTAACATCTATCGTTATATTAGGCCAATTATATTTCTGTCTGATTTTTTTGAAGCGTTTTCTCTTTCGAATAGTGTCCGCCTAAAATGCCTGCGTGTGCTTCCGATAATATGATTTCGTTATTATTTCTTATTTCTGGAAAGTAGAAATGTAGATATACAACTTTTCTCCTAAGTAATATTCATCGATAACTATCAGTAGTTTAGTGATTTCTTTTTGGTCATGTATTATATTTACATGATGATCGTCTTCTGAGAGAAAATCATGCAATTGTATGCTCAGTTGCTCGATGAGTCGCGTGAGGTGCAATATAAATTTCCTTTTCTTCCCTTGTAATTTCCGGTGGAGTCTTGATAAAAAATATTGTTTTATTAATTGGCCTTCCGACTTGATTCTTTATTATTATTTGCTTTCTCACGTTGGGTTTTGAGGATAACGGAACGGGTGATTGGGAGTTAGATAAAGATTTGTTTCTTGGATTCTCGTGAGGCAGAAAGTCAGTCGTAAGTGTTGGTACAGTAATTTCTTCTGGAAATTGTTCGTCGATAATGACTTTTGTTTTGGTAAAAAGGTTGTGAAAGGAGAAAAGGGTGTCGATAATTCTCCGGGTTCTTGTGTTAATTGGTCCTCTAATAGTTACTGTCCATTTGTCAGGATTCGCCTCAATATCTTGTAGAATTGTATAAAAAATTGAATAAAAGGAGAGCTCGAAAGTTTTCTATCGAAGTGTTTTTGAGATCAATATTTTGCCATCCCGATATGGGGTTCTTACTAATTGCTATTCTGATATTAAATTGTTCTTTTTCTACGTCAGAGAGAATATTTTGAATTTCTTCGTCTGTTATTTCAGGCTCGACTGCATTTATTGAGATTCTTGAAAGTGCGTCAGCGTTAGTATTAATTTTCCCTGATTTATAAATTATTTCGTAATCGAATTCCTCTAGTTTCAATCGCCATCTCATTAATTTTGAATTTGGGTCTTTCACATTCATTAACCAAGTTAACGATTTGTGATCGGTTACGATTTTAAATTTTCTGCCATATAAATATTGTCTGAAATGTTTTGTGGCCCATACGATTGTTAGTAGTTCTTTTTCTGTCGTGCTATAAGAGTTACTGCTTTATTAAGGGTTCTAGAAACGAAAGCCAGTAGCTTATCTTTGCCTATTGTTCTCTGAGATAAGATTGCTCCGATTGCTTCGTTGGATGCGTCTGTTGTTAGGATAAAAGGTTGATTCCAGTAAGGATAGGAGAGTACTGGTTGTGATATTAATTTAGATTTTAACAGTTCAAACGCGTGTCGTTGTTCGTCCATTCGAAGTTCGATGATTTTTGGAGGAGCTGTGTTAATGGTTTCGCGATTTTTGAAAAATCTTTAATAAATTTGCGATAGTATCCTACCAATTCGAGGAATTGCTTTATATCTTTAGGATTTTTAGGTTCAGGATATGTTTTTATCTTTTCGATTCACTTAGGATTAGGTTGTACACCACGTTCAGAGATTAGGTGTCCTAAATATTCGAGTTCCGGTCGCAAATACTCGCACTTATCCGGTTGTAACTTTAATCCTACTTGACGGAGTCTCTCGAATAGTATTTTAAGATTTTTATTATGTTCTTCGATCGTTTTTCCATATACTATTATATCATCGATGTAAACGAAGTAGTTATTTCCTACTATCCTAATCCTTTCAGACTTTTGTTCATCATTCTTTGAAATGTCAGCGGCGCGTTTTTTAAGCCGAAGGGCATACGAGTGTATTCGTAGTGCCTGTCTAGAGTCGAAAAAGCCGAAAAAATTTTTTTAATATCTTTTGGATTCATACCAATCTGGTGAAAACCCGACGCTAAATCAAAAGCCGAAAAATATCGTGCGTTGCCCAATTGATCGATGATTTCGTTTATGTTGGAAACGGATAAGCATCTTGAATGGTTTTATCATTAAGGTTTCGATAATTAATCTCCATTTGGTTTTACCCGAAGCATCTTGCTTTTTGGGTACTATCCACAGCGGCGAATTATAAGAGGAATCTGATTCCCTGATAATACCCTTACTCAACATTTCTTTGATTTGATTCTTAATTTCTTTTTGGTGTACAGGAGGATAACGATATTGTTTGGTATTGATAGAATTTTCGTCAGTTGTTCTTATCTCGTGTTGGGTTAATTGTGTGAGTGGAAGAGGATCTCCGGGTAACGAAAAGATATTATGATATTCTAAAACTATGTCCCATATTTTATCAGAATGTTCGGAGATATGAGAATGTTTTCTCTTAGCGTCTCTATTCGAGTGTTATCTAATGATTGTTTAATGATTGTAGAGACGGACGTCTCGTAAAAACTTTCAATGCCTTTGATTTCTTTTAGCAAATATTTAGAAATAATTGGTTGATTGAAATCATTCAGTTTTGTAATAGTTCCAGTACCATTTTTAAAATAACGAGTTCGAATTTTTGCACGAGTTATTAGGATATGGTTTATCGAATCGCGTAAATTCTTTTCCGTTTAAGATTAAATTTTTGTTTGAGAATGCAAAATCATTATTCGTAAAAAAATCTATTCCTAATATGCCCTGATGATTTATTGGTGAAGAATTGTCTAGTACGTGAAATATATGTTCTTTACCGTAAATGTTTATTTTTACACCGTATTTTGTTTTGATTAAATGATTTGTAACACCGTTTATAATTATCGGATCTATTTTCGGTAAACTTTTATCTATAATGTATGACTTGTGTACTAATAAAATATCGGATCCGGTGTCTATTAAGAATATAGTTTTTTCTTTAAAATCTGGTATCGTTAATCCAATTCGTGGTGCTCGGACGTACGTACTTCCGAGTCCCTGGTAGTATTGCTGCTGCTGCGATGATCTTGGTTCTGCTCGCTTGCATGCGAAGGACTCAATGCTTAGTCCGGTGGTTGACTGGTGAATACTCCTCTGTGAAAATTTTGCTCTCATTGTTGGTAAAATGCCTTTCTCCTGCATTCCCTTTCTTCGTGTCCGCGCTTCCGGCAGTAGGTGCATTCCTTAACTTGATATCTCACATTTGTCATTGGTTTCTTGAAGGTTTCGTTGCGTTGCATTCTCGTTTTTCTTAACTGGAGTTCTCCTTCAAATGCTCTAGCTTTGGAGAATGTTTGATTTAGAGTGTTCAGTTCGAACGAGTATAGATGATCGCCTATCTTCGCTCTTACGTTGCGGCGAAAGATCTCTATAGCCTTCTGCTGGTATAACTCTTCTTGAATATAGATTGACGCAATTCCGGTACTTTGCAAGTTAATTGCGGCTATGATCTCATCGTGTATTTTTAGAAATCGTGTTATAAAGTCGTCAACAGTCTCATGTTGACGCTGAATGCACGTACTCTCTATACTTTCAGTGCAGAAAGATTCAGGGCTCTTCCGAAAAGAAATCTAAGTTTTTTAAATAATTGCGGGAGATTTTTTACAGCGTCAGCTCTTATTATACCTTTTGCTCTCCCTAATAATTTTTGTGCGATGATGCCGTACAAGAGTAATTCTTGCTGATCGGGCCAGTTGTTTCGCTGCTATCTAGACGTAACTGATGAAGGTTTCAACATTGCTTCCGTCGAATTCTGGAATTAATGCAGTGCTCTTTCATATGTCTTAATTTTTGATTCGTAATTTTCGGGAGTGTCCGATCTTTTAGGTTCTTCTTGATAACGATTCCGATTCATTCGCATTCCTTCCATTTGATCTTTGAGATCTTGTAACGCGTCTGTTAAAGCTATGACTTTCTCCGCTAATATGTTCATAGCAACTGTTTGTTCTCGGTCACGAGAGAGACTTTGCGCGCGAGACATTGGAGCAGTTACAAAAATCTTTGATTCCAAGATATTGGAAGCTGTACTGGACTCAGTAGAGGTTTCAGAAGTAATTAGTTTTCTTACCGCTCGATAGTCTGTCCACACCAGTGTGTTTTATCGGATTCGGTATCTCGGGATAATCTTCAAGTTTTCTTTGGAAGCAACTAGTAAAACTAGTATATCTTCTTGAAGTGAAAGTATTTGGACTTCATTGTTCTTGCACTAATTATTCCGCACAGCTGCCACCAATCGTAAGACACGTGATGTTTATGAGTTCAAAAAAATAATTTTTATTTTACTTATGTCTTACAATAATTTTACAATAATTCTTAGAATATAATATTGAATATGCTATCTTAGAGAACTGTGAGCCGCACTGACAGCATAATGACTGACTTTTCCGAGCTTTTCGTATTGTCTTATATAGGACTTGAAAACAATAGAAAGTACAAAGTCGAAATAGAAGGGCTAAAGGGTTAGGGATTTAGAGAGATAAGAGATAGAAGTCTTAGGTGTCCAGACTTTACATTAGGTTTAGGAATTTAGGGAGATAAGAGATAAAAGTCTTGGTGTCCAAACCTTACAAATTATTTCCATCGAATTAAGACATCGGTGAAAACTAGATCAGTGTTACATTGCTCGACACTATGAGTGCATTCGTTTATTCAGTCACTACCGCAGATGTCGTTCGTTTACTCCATCT